TTTTTGCAATTAAAAACTATGAATTACCGTATAATTTACAGTGAAAAACAGTAAAAGGACATTCCCAAACGTCACACACAAATAATTTTGTTTCTTCTCATAGTAATGTACATTAGGGCTGTCAAAATTTTTTTTCGAATTTCGAATATTCCTCGAATTTAAAATAAAAATCCACAATCTTAAATGTGCGTTAAGGAGGCAGCCTTATCAGTGGCGCACGAGATGCGATGACGATGTAACTGTCCTTGCATTATAATGTTTTTGTTAGCCTATCCAGTTGAAGCCATTAGATGCGGCGCTGCTGCGTTGTTCATTCAAAATATTGCGGAAAAAGAGAACATTAAGGTGGAGAAGATCTTGTTTACGTCAAAACTGAAACCAAGCCGTTCACACAGAAAGCATATTTCACTCATTTTCTAGAGGGACATCTATCACCGTTGCACTCGCGTCTCGCACAAAAGAGCCGCATGTTTAGAAAGCCATGTAAAATAAATGCAAGTTCAACTTTGAAAAAGCATATCTTGAGACTTAATGGCAGGGTTTTTTCCCCCATCCCACTGCAACTCGTGTTTTTAAATGAAAAATATACTCTTTGTGTAATTGGCTTTCGGCCCTTTGTATTAAACTATGCATACATACATGATGCTGTTTTGTTTATAGTTGTTTAAGCAACTTAATTATAATTAGTTTATAAATATTATTTTAAACATTATGCATTTTTTTCACAGATAGTCATGTTATCTTATGTTTTGCTTGATGCGCCCTCTTGTGGCCTCAGGAGAGAAGCCAAATGCTTTTCTTCACCCTAACTGAAATTATGCATATTAAATTCGAATATTGATCATATTTAAGTACAAAATTCTAATTTAGTTTTCCAGCCATTTTGACAGCCCTAAAACACATTTTCATTCATCACACTGGGACGCATTTGTGCTGCAAAATGCTAAACACAAGTGGCAAAAGTTAAACTACTAAAGCACAGTTGTATTTTACTTTCTGCACTCTTCATAAACACTTGGCTCTGAGTGGAGGTTGTAGCCATCTCTTAATTGTTGTTTAGTGTTTTTCTATTTACGCTGCATTTTTATCAATCGTGATCAAGCTGCTAAATGATGAAAGAATATTTGAACCAGATATTAGTTTGCAGGTTGGTAATGGCATTGTAGTCATCATTTAGAGCAAATAGTGCTTTCAGAGTTTTTCAACACAGCTGATTGTTTGAAAGTACATAAACTTTTACCCTGTTAAGAATTATATAATGTTTTGGCCTACTAACAGACTTTTAAATGATGCTCAGAAACCCTGTGGATCTTCGGTGATCATGTGATCTTGCTTCCATGCATGCATATGGATGAGGATGTTGTGATATCAACATAAGCAAGAGGCGGAGTTGAGATTTCTCTCCCATGCATTCCAATCTGTTCATCTCTCTGTGAGAAAACAGTGAAATTACCAACACACACACACAGATGGAATGTTCATATGTGGATACCTACGCAGGGCTGTTAATCACTCTTCCTCCATGTTGTCAGATCATGTCTAGTTTTGCTCAGCCAGCACTAAATGATGACTGAGGCAGCAATACAAATCCTTGTTATTTTACATTGTGGCAATATTTATTAGCACATGATTGTTTATCTTTAGCAGTTTATATCATTGGTTTGTTTCCAGGTGTCAGTAAATTTGATGCTCTCTGTACACTGAAAAAATTGTTTGTAATTTTTACTGGAAATTTTTACTGTGTGTGTGTGTGTGTGTGTGTGCATGTTTATGTGGTTTATGAGGACACAAATTTGTATAATAACATGGTGCTCTCTGTACACTGAAAAAATTGTTTGTAATTTTTACTGGAAATTTTTACTGTGTGTGTGTGTGTGTGTGCATGTTTATGTGGTTTATGAGGACACAAATTTGTATAATAACATGGGTATGACATAGGTATTACAACGAGAAGGTGATTTATGAGGACATTTTCAGTGTTCCCGTAATTCAAAAAGC